TGGCTGACACTGAAATTACATTTAGGCCGCGTCAACCACCGGTGGCTGACACTGAAATTATATTTAGGCTGCGTCAACCACCGGTGGCTGGCACTGAAATTACATTTAGACTGCGTCTGCCAAAGCTTGCTGACACTGACCTTTCACATAGGCCACGAAAAACAGCTGACTGATAGCGTATAACATGATATAGAATTGTAAAATTTACACTCTTTTATGGAATTGCCGAATATTTATTCAAAATTTACTTAATTATTGTGATACTTGGTTTAATAAATTCAATTTAGTAGATTTTTATCCACCACTATTTTTAAACAATTCGTAGGTATATATTATTCACCACTATTTTCTGAAATGTCATGCTAAACCTTTTATTAACTGGCCAAATCTGTCCATAACTGCAAATTAAGTTTGTAGTGATTTACCGTGTGGCCAGACGAACAAGCCGAGTAAAATTAGCAACGTTTTAACTAAAAATAACGTAAAATTCGTTACCACTAGAAGATAATTTTTTACAAAACGGAGAAAGTTGGCGTCTCGAAAGTGGCAGCGAATTAAAAAGTAACAATTATTGAGTAAATGGATAATTTTGTCAATTTTTAATGGCTCTCCACGATGTAAATACAACAAATTTATGTTCCATATGAGGTTTTGAATTTTCGACTCGTAGTAGTAGCAAAATAACTTAAAATAAAATTAAGTAAACTAAATATAATTTAAACTTCACCACCACTTGAATATAAATATGTTTACAAAGCGAAGCAAATTAGCATCTCTGTATAAGTTTCACTCCAAAAATGATATTTTGTTGTCATAAAAATATTTTGAACCATTTCTATCTATTGCTTCATTAGCAGTTTACATTAGTTTAATAATGTGTTTTAAACTCTACTCGAGTCACCTGTCGAAAGTGACAAAACTCATTAATTCTAAAGCTTTAAATTAAACAGGAATGGAAGAAGGTACGTTTTCAGTTATTAATGTCAAAATTATAACTGTCATTCATTACTTTTGGGAAAGTCATTAACGGGGAAACCTCTCCATTGAGTTGAAGTGTCTTGTAGCAGTAGGTTCTACTTAATTTACAGTTCGACGCTTCGCAGTCTTGTTAATTGGTTTTCGACATTAGTTGATCGTCAAAGAGACATAAAGATTGTTCTCTGGAATAGGTTTCTGAGAGACCTGTTAGCGTGATTGCAGGAATAGTTTTATTTATTCTGTTCTCAAGGAGAAATAAATACTGGGATTCAATCATTCTCTATCAAATTGAGAAATGGTTGAAGGAGTCAAGCCTTATTTGTTTTCGAATTCTTAAAAAAAATGGTGGCGAAACGACCGAGTTTTTAAAAACTTCAAATAAAAATATGGACACGATGTTTTAGGTTAAAGTTTTAAACAATTAGTTTTATGATTAAGAAATAACTTACATTTAAAATTCTTCTTAAATAGCTTAATAAAACTAAATACAATTTATTTAAGCTTTTTGAATTTTTTAGATCGCAGAAACTCAAACAGGTTACAATTAAAATGGTTTAATTTCTATTTTTAATTTTACTTAATTAACACGTTGAATGATTAGCTAATTTTTCATGGCATGCCCGTCTGGCCAAACGGTAAATTACTACAAACTAAATTTGCAAATATTGGACACATTTTGCTACATTTTTAAAAGGTTTCGCAAGATTTATCCAGAGATGCCAACTACTCCGGAGACACCAAAATAATTTTAAAAAAACGGTAAATAACTACAAAGTAAATTTTGCCAATATTTGACTATTTTTGCTTACATTTTAAAAGGTATAGCATGACATAAGCAGTATAAAGTGGTGAATTATATAACGCTACGAATTATTTAGAAATAGTGGTGGATAAAAATCTACTAAATTGACTATTAAACCAAGAATCACAATTGATAAACTACCACTTTAAAATGTATATTTGCTGTCTGGAGTAAGTTGGCATCCTCTATGTAACTGAAAAGGTGGTGAATTATTTAAGCCTGCGAATTGTTTACAAATAGTGGTGGATAAAAATCTACTAAATTGAATTTATTAAACCAAGAATAACAATTAATAAACTACCACTTGAAAATATTTATTCGCTGTCCTGAGCAAGTTGGCATCTCTGTGTATACAAATAAAACTATCTTTGTGTGTTCTATGTTGCATTAATTTCTTCAAACCATTTTAGTAACGATAATAATATTTAAAAAATTACAAATTTACTCGAATTATGTGTTTCTAATAATCTTGGCTTCGCCGGTCACCGGTGATCCAAATGGCATTCAACATGTTAAATAATTTGTTTTTTGGTAAAGAAATAACTTACATTCAAAATTCCCTTAAATAGGTTTGTGCAATTTGCTTAAGTTTTTTGAATATTTAAGATCGCAGAAAATCAAGCAGGCTTCAATTAAAATGGTTTTAGATTCTTTCTTTAATTTTACTTCATTAATTTTGCTGTTATAATTTTTTTGGATTTACTTAATTTACAGTTCGAAGTTTAGCAGTCATATTAATTGATTTCGACTTTAAAAAATCGTAAAAGAGACATGAAGATTGTTCTCTGAAATAGGTTTCTGAGAGTCCTGTTAGCGTGATTATAGAAATAGTTTCGCTCATTCTATTCTCAAGAAAAATAAGAGCTGGAATTAAATAATTCATTGCAGGAGTAAGAAATAGTTGAAGGAGTTATTGGAAGACATTCTACAATATTTCTTTAAACGCTGAAAAATATAAATGGTGACATAACACTCTACTTTTCAAAACTTTTCTCTAAGAATAGACGCGAGGGACAATTGTGATTACAGCAAATTATTGTTAAGGAAAATAATATTCCTTAAGAAGACGCTATACAATTGAAAAACAAATTCAAGTCCAATCCTGTTTCATCGCAATTGGTATTTATAAAGTTACTAGAAACGAAGTGATTTCATATAAATCTATAGTAAACTCTGACGTTTCAAATGCTTAAAATTATTTAAACTAAAAATAGCATTTTGAAAAGAATGTGTAGCGTTCGAAACAAAACAAATTTCAGATTTGAATATGTAACTAAATGATATTTATATATTTTATATGAAATAGTTACGCAGCAAAAATATTTTTTTAAATTCTAAATTGAATGTGTTCTCTCTCACACAGAGAAAAAAATAATAAATAATTTTAAATCTGGAAATTATTAAAAAATTTAATAACGAAAAAAATGTTCCAACCGTCTAAAAAAAAACAAAAATTATGAAATATATTCCGCTATTTGTTATCATCCATTTTTCATGAAATTCTAGTCTTATAACCAGTAAACAAAGTGATACTACTAAACATACCCTCCAACATATGAGGATTTTGAAAATAATTCTTTCTAGTGGTAGCGAACCAAAGTAGAAATTTTTAAAGCAAATGGATCTCTCATAAAACTTTTATCAGAACTTAAGAATCTAGCCATATGGCCTGCACTTTTATAAGTAATAGTGGACAAGTTACGCTAAAATTAATTTTTNAAAAAAATGGCATGTGATAAAAATGTGCTTATTTACAAAATCAATGCAAGGCACTTCTTTGCAAAAATACAATATTTACTAAAAATGTTCAAAATTGTGTCCCCTAACTTTAATACGAACTACATCTGTGATTGGTTGGCAACACAAGGGGGGGAAGGCTATAGGGAGTCGGGCAAACCACAAACTGTTGCGCTAACGAAATAATGTTCTTCGCAATTATTGATGGCTGAGATTTCAAGCGCGATAAGTGGTTTTAAGCATGGTGAAGAGACTGACATGTTTATAATGAATGGCGCTTCTAATTGGAATGATAGGTCATACTTACGATTGTCACAGAAATATTTACCGAGCTGGCGTATGCCAAAGCTCATAATGTTCGAGAGATTGCAACGGTCCCTATATGTAAACAGGTCATTTGCCGCCATCTCTGACAAGAGCAGTGTATAAAGGACTGTACTGCATCCTAGTAAGAAAAAATCCATCTTGTTGTGAGTGAAACACTTCACACAAGTGCAAGAATTGTCAGTCGGGATAGCCTGGTCAGTAAGGCGACGGGCCCATGTCCGAGAGTTCGTGGGTTCGAACCCCACCGGCCGAAGACTCCCCGTGTATTAAAGTGACTGATGCACGTTAAATCTGTCGAGTCGCAAAAGTTCTCCATGTTCCCATAACAAATCAAAACCTCTGGGGGTACTGGATTGGAGATCGATCGTTCTCTGATTCAGGTCAAAATTACGATCTGTGGATGAATGAATGGATGCATGAATGGGTCCGCCTTATAAACAGGTGTGATGTATGATGTGGCAGAAGTCGAAATCTTGGCCATAGATGGCACCACTGAAAAACAAGAATCGCACACTCTGTCTTAAATTTGCTCGGTTTCACCAAGCAAGCTTGCTCGTGTGGCAATCGGCATTAGAACCAACAATATCCAGGTTGTTTTCGGTTTGAATAAAATAACCTTACAACCACGATTTATTGAAAGTTATAACGTATATACAAGACTGGTTCCTGCACTAGAATATATTTAATAATTGGCCGGCGCGCACATTAGATTTTTATCCACCACTATTTCTAAATAATTCGCAAGCTTATATAATTCACCACTTAATAATATTTATGTTATGCTATACCTCTTAGAAAGCAAGCAAAAATAGTCAAATATTTGCAAAATATACGTTGTAGTTATTTACCGTTTTTTTAATTATTTAAGCGCGTCCGGAGCAGTTGGCATCTCTGTTCAGTGTTCTACACATTATTGTTTGTATTTAGGTTTTGTTAGCTGTGATTTGATCAATTATTTGCCATTCTTGAGTGCACACCAAAACAACCATGCATACTATGAGTCACTGCATAGTATCCGTTTTCTTCTCGTGTATTGCTATTAATTTCTATCAAATGATTTGTCATTGTGCAATGCAAAAGTAAAAGCTTTTTTCAAAATTTAAAAGAAAAACATTGAGTGAATCACTAATTCAGAAATAAATTTATTACGCTTTTAATGACAATTTAAATATCAAACATAGTTCAAATAATTCAATGTTCTATTGAGCATTGCAGTCTGGTTTAGACTTTTGAGATTTAGTCAGCGAGTTGCCGGATTTGTCAGCGCACCAGCACCATCCCTGCCTGCACTGAATCGAGGCATAGTCACCATCCTTGGTACATTTAGGAACAAATTCTTTTGGGTCACCTGAATTATTAAAAAAAAATCAAGAAGAGAGAAGAAGAAGAATTATCACAATATATATATGCTTCACTTTCTTTGTCTAGTCTAAAACAGGAATATACTTAAAAACTAATTCCAGCAGCTTGCTGAGACATCATCAAAGCACATAAAAAGGAGGAAATATCCTGCTTTTCCATTACGTAAATTACGCGGGAAACTGCTGTTACCTACAGGAAACCTACAGGGTTATCAACATACTAAGATTTAGCAGAACATCATATGTACTAAGATCTAGCGCATACGAAGCAACGTGACAGTAAGGAGAAATGTCATCTGTAAACAAAATGCGTCAGCAGATTTAATCTACATGGATGATATAAATGCATTTTCAACGGTATGTCTTAATTAATAGTACAGTTTTGTTTATCAATCGTTTAAAAATATAGAAATCTTCACAATCCCTCACCAAATCCTTAAAGTGGTTGGGAGGAGAGGAGGATGCAAACCCGTATCAAACCTCTACTGCTATACCCCTAGCGGCTATATTTTGTTTTTACCTTTATACCAACCTCCAACATATATATATANAAAATGCGATTTAGTAGTTTGGAGATATATATGTGTATAATATATGTCAAATATGAATATATATATACAGTGGTGGCCAAAAGTGTGGAGATTTTTTGGAAGTTTCGTGTTTTTCAACTTTGTGTGCTGGTAGAATATATTCATTTTCACACTTAAATACAAACGTTTATATATCAAATTGAAGGTAATTTAATGTAGAATTTAATAATAAATACAGTATTACAATATATGTATTACAAAAAAAAGTTATGCAACTAATAGCAAGATCTATCTTAGACTTGTATTTTTTTGAAGTGATACTTACTCAATCAATACTTAGTAGGATAACCCTTATTTTTTAAGACAGTTTCACAGCGTCTTTTTATCGAGTGAACGAGTGTTTGGAGTTCATCTTTCGTAATCACATGGTGCCAAGAATCAATTATAGCTTAAATAAGTTGTCTTTTATTGGATGGACGTTCTTTTCGTACAAGAATTTTCAAACATAGCCACAAATTTTCAATTGGATTGAGATCAGGGCTGTTTCCTGGCCATGGTAATATATCTATACCTTTATTTTGAAACCATGCTTTGCATAATTTTGCTATGTGGAAAGGAGCTGAATCCTGCTGAAAAGTAAATGGCGCGTTGTTGGGGAAGAGATCCCTGATGGAAGTATCAATTTTGGTTTCAGGACAGTTTCGATGTATTTTTTTGCATTCAGGATGCCATCAATCACTTGAATTTGATCCACACCATCTGCAGACATACATGCCCAAATCATGACATTTGTTGGGTTTTTTGTAGTTGCTTCAATGCAATCAGGAGGAAGTGCTTCACCTACTCTACGTCTCACGTATTTTCAACCATCACTACCAAGGAGCGATATTTCACTCTCATCGCTCCAGATTACTTGCTTCCATTGATTTTCTGACCATTTAATGTGTTCTTTTGCCCACTTAACTTGTTTTTCACTTTGCTTTTGATTTAAGTATGGTTTTTTCCTCGGAATTCTAGCTTGTAGTCCAATTCCTGATAGCCTTCTTGAACTTACTGCAATACCCGCTGCATTCATTTCACATCTAATGGCATCTGATGAAATTTTTCTATCTTGAAGGCATAGCCGTTTAATTTTTCTATCGGCAGTAGCTCTTGTTCATTTTTTTCGGCCTGATTTGGCTTTACTTTTCACTGATTTCGGTTTTTCATAACGTAAGCAAAACTTTCGTACACCAGAATAAGTCACTGAACCACCAACTTGTCTTGCAATTTCAGCATAAGAGAGGCCATTTTTTCTCAATATGACAATTCGTCTTCTTTTTGTAGATGTCCAATTAGTTCTTCTTGTTGATGACATTGTTTAAAATTAGTTTAATTTTAAAAAAAACTTTAAATATTCAAAAACAGCAATACTCTATTTAATTGTACTAGTATGCATCATTCCAAAAAATATTTCCACAACAATAACTCTTTAACCATCCAAATAACCTAAACTATAGTTACAGACATTTGATTGGTCCTAAGAACAGTATTTGTGATTGGCTAGTACGCTTTTATTACAAAACACGTCATTATTCAAAACGATTGTGCTTGTTTGTTCTACTAAAATGAGCATAACTTTCTTTGTAATACAGATATTTTAATTCTGTTTTTGTTATTAAATTTTACAATAAATTACTTTCAGTTTGAAATATAAACGTTTGTATTTAAGTGAAAATTAATATATTCTACAAGCACACAAAGTTGAAAAACATGAAACTTTCAAAAAATGTCCACACTTTTTGCCACNTTAAAAATTTCAACTATATAATAGAGACGTTTGCAAAATGGATTCTATTTATTAATTTAACGCTCGTCACTGATGAAAATCCAACTGCATCGACTCTGTTCAGTCTTTTCTAACACATTTTAAAGAACTCATTAGTAGTGTTTTCTGACCTACAGCTAGCTCTCATTAAAAAAAGAAAAAAAAAAGAAGTTCTTGGCGCGTTTTTTTAATGCTCAGTTATTTTTTATTCGTTGTGTGAGACAAAATTAATTATCGACGTGAGTGCCGTGGCATTTTAGGGGATAGAACGTTTGCGTTCTAGTTAGATGACCCAGGCTCAAATCAAGGCGTTGGCAGGTTGATATGATTTCTGCTCTAGCCTCCCACTAACCGAATCGGGAGCAAAAAATATCTTACGTGGTAGACGGATCATATGTTATAATCTCCTTACCGTCGTGCTAACCGTGGGATATTTTCTTAGTTTTCCTTTCCATGTAACACAAATGCGAGTTAGTTCATCAAATGTCCTTTTTAAGAACCATAAAATATTGGTTTGCTATTACTCGTATTGACCACTATGATGCTTATTTAATGCTGATAATGTGTATTAATCGAAATAAAATAACAACCAATCAACTAAAAAGCAAAATTAATAGTGCGAAGACATTTAGACGGGAGAGAATATTAGCAATTTTTTAGCAAATTGGAGAAAAAAATGGTAAATTAACAATTTCTCTATAAGGATTCAAAGAAGTATTTTTAAATCTAGTGTGTTTAGCAAGAGCTGAATCAACTATAGATGAAGCAAGCAGAACTGAAATAAAGTTTATTTAATACAATAAGCATATTAAAATAAATAATAAGCAACATTAAAAAAGCTACTTTTCACAATATTTCTTTTAATTTACTACTTAACATTCCAATATTTTGCTTTGTAACTGAAATGACTGGTAAAGAAACGGGTGTAAAAGTGTAACACAGCTTTGCCAAATTGTATAGAGAATTTTCTGAGGATAAATGACAGAAATATTCCGTTTGTCTACCCTAGCCCTATGTCTATGCTAGCCTTCCTCTACTCCATTAAATTACTTTTCTATAGGTGCCAATTAGAGAATTTAACCCTTTAATGGGCCCTTTATTTCTAGTAAAGGTAAATTAAAGTACTCTTGGAATTGAAATTGTTTTAAGAACAGTAATTGATATAAAAAAAAACTCATTTAGTTTATAAAAATGCCATTTTTTTGGTGGTAAATATATTTAACATGACCTATTAGGTACTTACTGACTTTAATTTTTCATTATTTATAAAATAAATTCCTTAAATGCTACGAACTTCAAAAGGAATTATGTATTTTATAACTTTTATACCTTTTTTAAAAGTGACAAATGGTTATCAATTTTATTCAAACTCACTTCAAGAAAGCTGAAGTTATTGAAAAATGATAACCTAAATTAAAAGTGGTAAAACGTGGTGATAAGTATACTTACCACGGCCTTCAAAAGGGTTAATTAGCATAATTTTGTTAAACAAATCCATGAAAATCCCGCTAATATCACCAATTGAATTTCCGACTATTTAGAGCGCTCGAATTTTTACTTCTTAAATAAAATAAAATATCATGTTTGAAAGAAAAAATATTAGCCCATACCAGAGTCTTTGGCCATTTTTCTTTGCACTCTACAAGCTGTTACTTTTGCTTTTGGCTTTTTAGTCATTGCGGCGAAAGTAACTGCAATCAAGCTGAGAACAAGTAAAAAGTAGAAAACTTTCATCATTGATTAGCTGAAAAATATTAGCAGATATTATCAAACAAGTTTAAATAATGAAAGTTTTTATTATTACAATCCCTTACGAAAATTTAAGGTATATTTGAGGTGTATTTAAGGTTGCTGAGAAAACAGCAATAAAAATTATACCTCGTAAAGGTTGTAATTAAAGTGTACGAAGTTGTTTTACATATACTTCAGCCTATTTTGAGGTTGTTTAAAATCAACTTCAAATCAAACAGGCTGATGAGGTGATTCTCAAGGTATACCAGGTTGATTTTCTCACACTTGTAACTAAAGAGGTACTTTTGAGGTATAAATTTTTTTACCTTATTTCAACTAAAGAGAGTGAGGTATTTAATGAGGTATATGAAGTCATTTTATTTATACCTAAGCTCATTTTGAGGTTGTTTTAAATTCACTTCAAATCAACCAGAGGTGATTTTTATGGTATACCAAGTTGATTTTCTGATACTTGTAATAAAAAGGTATTTTTGAGGTATAAAAAAATTTACCTTATTTCGACTAAAGAGAGTGAGGTATTTACGAGGTATAAAAAATATACCTTTTTTCAACTAAAGAGAGTGAGGTATTTATTGAGGTGTATGAAGTCATTTTATTTATACCTCAGGTTGTTTTAAGGCTGCTTAAAATACACTTCATATCAACTAGCTCACTTCCCAGAGTTCCGTGCTAGCCGGCAAATGACGTGTGTGGTTACAATCGAAAGTTTCCTCGAAATTCGGTAAGTGTGCTTGACATTTATTAATTTAGCTTTATCACTTTTAATCAAATATGCTTCAATTTTCAAACTTAAATGTCATTATTTTTGTTTTAAAGACGCGTCCTGATCTTGCATTATTTAAGTCGGAAGATATTCTTTGAGGCTATTGTTGTAGGCTTAGCAATAAGACAGAACAATCGAAATATTTCTCGTCGCTGTTTAGGGTAAGGTTACTGGTGAATCCTTACAGCAGGTTACGCACAGTATATTTTATTGTTTGTAATTTATTCAAATGTAACCTATTCTTTTTGTTTTGCCTAAATGTATATGTTTTAACGCAGCAGTATACAAGCTCCCTTATGAAAATTTAAGGTATATTTAAGGTCGATTTGAGGTATTTTTGAGGTATTAAGGTTGTTTTGAGGTATATTTGAGGTATATTTAAGGTTGCAGAGAAAACAGCAATAAAAATTATACCTCGTAAAGGTTGTAATTAAGGTGTACGAGGTTGATTTATAGATACTTCAGCTTGTTTTGAGGTTGTTTAAAATTCACTTCAAATCAACCAGACTGATAAGGAGATTTTTAAGGTATACCAGGTTTATTTTCTTACACTTGTAACAAAAGAGGTATTTTTGAGGTATAAAA